CGAGCAGGAAATGCCTTTATTCTTTGTCCCAGGGTGCAGGGCTAAGCCCTTTGACCCTCAGTCAGCCCCTCCCTTTGTCCAAGACTCAGCCCTCCTGCTTGTTGATACAAAGCTAAAGCACTTGGGCTGTCCCGGAGCACAGAGAGAAGGGCTCCTGTTGTGGAATAATCTTTGGAAAGTTCAAATATGAAGCTAAGACATTTTTCAGAGACTCAGGCTAATAATTCAGCTGTGGCCTTGTCATGCCCAGTTGTTCTAGTTGTCCTACCACAGTCTGCTATTCAGCCGCATTCCTTTAGTTATGTATTTGTTGCTATTTGCGTGGGTGTGCGTGGTTATTTATTTGTATGTATGTGTGCATGTGTTTGTGTTTGCTCACATTTGTGTGGGTACACACAGAAGCCAAAGAAGGTATTGCATCCCCCCCAACACCCTTCACTGAAGGAAGGGTGTGAGCTGCCCTCTCTATGTGGGTGCTGGGAACCGAACTTAGATCCTCTGAAAGAGCAGAGCCTTCTCTCCAGCCTGTGCTGTTTAGCTCTTTCTTGTGTGTGGATGCTGTGGAGGCCTGAGGTTGCTCTTGGAGACCTATCTCCCTCAGTCTCCCACATTGCCCCGTGAGGCTGGGTCTCTTACTCACACAGGGAGCTCTGTGATGTGGCAGCCCTCGCTGGCCTGCTTGCTCTGGTGACCCCCTCTCTGTCTTCAAGGCTGGTTGCACAGGCGGCCGCCATGCCCACCTGGCATTCCGGTGGGGTTTAGGGATCTGAATCCTCACACATACTTTACTGTGAATCCCTCAGAGCAGGTCCCTGTCTCGGGGGGATATAAACAGCGTCCCCATGCTGGACCCTGGTGGCTCACTCCTTTAATCCCAGCACTTTGGAGGCAGAGGCAGGAGCAATTGTGTGAGTTCGAGGACAGCCTGGTCTCCAGAGCGAGTACCAGGATAGGCTCCAAAGCTAAGCAGAGAAACCTTGTCTCGAAAAACAAAAACAAAAAAAAGGGCGGTACTGTTGTACACCTTTAATCTCTTGGGAGGCAGAGGCATTTGGGAGGCAGAGGCAGGGGGATCTCTGTGAGTTCGAGGCCAGCCTGGTCTACTAAGTGAGTTACAGGACAGGCTCCAAAGCTGCAGAGGATCTTTATCCCAAAAACCAAACAAACAAACAAAAAATCATTCTTAAAAAGAATACCCACTTGAACGATGGACGGTGGCAATGCACGTTTGGGGGCTGAGGCAGGAGGATTGTGAGTTCATGGCTGGCCCCATTTATAGAACAGGATTCTATATAATAAATATATAAATAAATGAACACATGGAGATGGCCGTTGGAGCAGTATGGCTGTGTGGGAGCAGGCTCTGGGTGGGGGACGGTGACAGGGCCCCTTCCCAATGTAAGCCTGGTCTTTACCCACTGTTCACTCTGTGGCTGAGGATATGGCTTTCCTGGATGGAGGATGCGTAACTCACAGGAAGCCCTAAGATCCATCCACACCATTGTACAAGTGGAAAGTGGTACCCGATGCCTGTCACCCCAGCACTCCAGAGACAGGCAAGGTGATCAAGACTTCAGGGTCATCCTTGGCTATGCACAGATTTGGGGCCAGCCTGGGCTATGTGAGATTGTGTCTCCAAACTCCGAAGGGCGGAAAAAATCAGACTGTTAAAAGAAACTTCAGAAGCTGGGTGGTAGTGGTGTGCGACTTTAATCCCAGCACTCGGGAGGCAGAGACAGGTGGATCTGAGTTCAAAGTCAGCTTGGTCCACAGGGTGAGTTCCAGGACAGCCTCCAAAGCTACACAGAGAAACCCTGTCTTGAAAAAGAAAACAAACAGAAAACATACTAAAAGTAGAAATGTTAAGAGTCTGGAGAGTGTAGCTCAGGTAACAGCCTGTGAAAATGCAAAGCCCTGCATTCTGTCCCCAGCCCCACATAACCGGGGCACGGGGGCTCACACCTGTCACCCCAGCATTCTTGAGGTAGAAGGAGGCTCGTTCTGTGACGCCCTGTCTTGAAGCTGCTGCTTTTAAGTTGCTGCCTTTAGGGTTGCCCCCATTTCACAGATGAGAAAGTGTGGTCAGGAGAACGGAGCGAAGTGTTCCTTACTATGTTTGGGCTGGAACTTTGGTCGTCTCCCAGAAGGTCTAGACGTGGAGGGGGTGGGGAACAGGCCTGTTTGCGGAGGCAGGGTGGTAGGGTGAACCTTGCTACAGAAGTGAGGTAGGGGTGTGTGAGGCCCGTCTGCAGAGGTGAGGTGAGGTGAGGTGGAGTGGGGCTGTGTGAGCCCTGTCTACAGAGGTGAAGTGTGGGGTTGCAGGGGTGAGGCCTGTCTGCAGAGGCTAGCATGCCTTGTCCTGTCCTTGCAGGAGCTACGGGAGCGAGTTCTCAGAGGAAAGTACCGAGTGCCCTTTTACATGTCTACAGACTGCGAGAGCATTCTGCGGAGATTTCTGGTGCTGAACCCCGCCAAACGCTGTACTCTAGAGGTGAGCCCCAGCCCTGCACCCTCTGGGCCCTTCCTGTCTCCTCATCCCTGCCCCTCCATCCATGCAGCCTGGGGCTGGGCCCCAGCTCTGAGGGGAGCTAGACAGCAACGAGGAGGCTGCTGGGCGGTCCCTGCCATGTCAGTAATTAAGCTAATGAACTCTTAGGATGATTGCAGGGTGCCGGGGACCCAGACGATGCGGAGGAGGAGGGTGGTGGAGAAAGCTGGGGAGGGGGGTGGCAGGCTCTGCGGGGAGCCCCATTGGGAGATGGGAAGCTGTGTCCTGTTTCTGGTCCCTTCTGACTCTGTTCCCTCATCCTCAGCAAATCATGAAGGACAAGTGGATTAACATTGGCTATGAGGGTGAGGAGCTGAAGCCATACACGGAGCCCGAAGAGGACTTTGGGGACACCAAAAGAATTGGTGAGAAGCCGGGCTGTGGTGGCGAGCACCTTTAATCCCAGCACTCAGGAGGCAGAGGCAGGCGGATCTCTGTGAGTTCGAGGCCAGCCTGGTCTCCAGAGTGAGTGCCAGGACAGCCTTCAAAGCCACAGGGAGACCCTGTCTTGAAAAAAACAAAAACAAAAACAAAACAACCAAAAAGAATTGGTGAGAGTCAAGGAAGCAGGTGTCTCAGGCTCAGGGGTGCAGTGCTACAGAGCCAAAGCGCTGGCTCTGCCCCCGTTGGTCATTGTCTTGCTACAGCTCAGCACTGAGCTAACAGTTTGGGAATATATATCCCTGCGCCACACTGGAGCTGTGTGACCCCAAGCGAGGGTTTTCCTTCTCTGTGCTTCTAGTTCCCCACCTAACACCGTACAAATCAGGGAAGGTAGTTGATCTACATATATATTACGTCAGTGCTTGGTGTGTAAATGCTGATGCCTGGCACGGTGGGCCTTTGACTATGAAGGTAAGAAAACCAAACCACTGGGGCTGGAGAGATGGCTCAGCAATTAAGAGTCCTGGCTGCTCTTCCAGAGTGGCCATATTTAATTCCTAGCACCCACATTGGTAGCTCCAGTCCCAGGGTCTCCAATGTCCTTTTCTAGCCTCCTAGGGTACCAGGCGTGCAGGTGTGCACGGATATACATGCGGGCCACCAAGTTTTGACAAATCAAAAAGTTCCACCCCCAAGGACACACCGATAGCATCAGAACAGTCATGATAGTGCTCTGCCACTGAGCCACGCCCCCAGCCCCTCACTGGGGGATTCTAGGCAGGGGCTCTACCACTGAGCCACGCCCCCAGCC